ATTAACTTCTGAAATTCATTATCCCAAAATGCATTATCCCACCTTGTAAACCAGATTACCAGGCTCTTGGAGGCCTTGTCTCCAGCTGCAGCTGCTGAATGCCAGTAATAAATCTCTCTTTATCCACAATTTCATCAGGAATGAGAGGGCAAAGCTGGCTTCCATTACCAAGACATGGGTGGATGCAGAGGGAGGTGTTCCCCTCTCTGAAGTGTGCCCATCTAAGTTTTGGGTGTGAGCATCAGTGCAAGCCCAAGGCAAGAGAAGAGGGGTGGCAACTGTCATGCAGAAGGCTCTACAGAGGCACTGTTCCACAAATAACTGGATGTGAGGCCTTGTTCCTGAAGTTAGGCTCAAGGGACAAGGTGGGACTGCTGTTGTTGTGCCATCCCCTTCTGCGTAGGAGTATCTCTTCCTGAACTGCTTAACCTCATCACTGGGCTGGCAGTGGAAGTCCCCAGGCTCAAGGTGTTGCAACTTCAACCTCAGGGAGGAATCAGAAGCAGTTTGGGAATTCGTGGCTATCATGAAACCACTATCTAGTTCCAGGTTATCAGAGGTCTGAGTCATGTGGGAAACTACATGTTAGATCTGGTTTCTGTCTTGGAGCTGATACAACGTGAACTGAGGATTGCTCCTGATGATATTATTATGTGAATGCACTTATTCTGTTAAGTTTATTGGTTTTAATGTTTGTTAACTCTAATTAGGTAGTAATCTAATTATTAATTAGAGTAGAGTACTACTAAGATTAGTAATCTAATCAGATTGTCCATGGGTTACAACAGCAATTGGGACTGGAATTTCCATTGTTAAGCGATACAGTTGTAAAGCATGATGTCACAGGACCCCATCGCTTAGTGATGGCAATCCCAGCAATTCCAGTTGCTGTCATAAGCTGAGGACTGCTCAGGTTGTTAAGCGAGGACGTCATGTGACTATGACATGGGAAGAGGCAGGAATCCAGACAAGCAGGCTGGCAGGTGAGAGCTATGGGCAGGCAGGCACTATGAAGTCCAGATGGGTGGGCAGGTGCCATGGATGGGTGCTTCAGAGTGCAGGCAGGCAGGTACCATGGGCAGGCACTATGGAGAGTGGGTGGTGGTACAGAGTACGGCGGGGGAAGTAGCAGGAGGAGAAGAGACTTGTGGGAGCATCTTGTTACCTCCTGCTGGCTTCCTCACTGACTTTGCTTGTGGGAAGCCAGTAGGAAAGATCCAAAAGGTGATCACATGACTGCAAGATGCTGCAACTGTCATAATTGCAAGCTGGTTACCAAGCACCCGAATTGCAATCATGTGACTGTGGGGATGCTGCAATGGCTGCAACTTCGAGGACCGACCCCAAGTCCCCCTCATTCAGCACTGTCATAACTTTGAATGGTGACTGAATGAGCGGTCATAATCCAAGGACTACCTGTATGCTGCTTAGAGTTATATATGATTAAAGTGGCATATCTATTTATTTATTTATATATTTATATTTCAAATTTAGTCACCAGCCATCTCACTCAAGGAGTGACTCTGGGTGGTTTACAATAAAACAAGAATAAATACTAATTAAAATAAAACAATGTACATAAATAATAATATTTAATAATAAATATTTAATAAATACATAACCCTAAATAATAAATAAATGTGATGATGACCACTTACTTGGATTGGTTTAAAAAAGTGTTAAACTTATGGAGGACAGGTCTATCGAGCTATAAACATTGAAGAATCAATGTTATCTACAGGTGGGGGTGGTATGCCTTGAAATACCAGTTGCAGGAGGAACAATAGTGAGAGAGGGGTGTGTCTCCTTGTGAGCACGTAAGGTATATGCCTGGCCAAAGTGAGAAAAAAAAATGTTGCACTAGGATAGGTGTTAGCCTGATCCCACAAAGCAATTTTTATGTTATTACGCTCTCATTGCATGCTTGGAGCTATTACTTTTCCACAAAAGAAAAAAAATATCATCCACAAGCAGTCATCCACTGAAAATGTTTTATGTAGCTGGGAGGTTATTAATGTCTATTCGAGTGATTGGAATGCCTGAATCCTCAGTAGTTTGCTATCTGCTATGACAATTTTCCTGTAAAATATATTATATTTGTAATTATTTTTAAATATCATTGGGTAAAACTAAGCTGCTCCTAGTTTGAAATAAGTGGAACAGAACTACATATAGCCATATACTGTTACTTGAAAATGTTCAATGTTAGGAAGAGGAATGAAAGCAGGACAGAAAGAATAAGAAAAAGAAATAAATGATCATAAATAGAAGGCTTCTGACTCTTGGTATTGAAAAATAAAAAAGATCTCATGTAATAATGCAACAAGGCTTTTTAAATATACTGCTCTGCGAGTATAAAACTTAAAATATCAGAATTGCTGGCAAATATGATTATAGTTTAATGCTAAATTTTAACAGTTGAATTAGACAGCATACAGTATATGACTTTTCACATTACCAGTACTACAGAAAGCCATCTTACCTGTGGAGCATTTGTTGCTACCAGAAAAGCATTTGTCCGACCAGGATGATCATAATCATGCATGGCTGCTGCTACATATAAAGCCATTAATTCTAAGGCTGGAATATTTGATGCTAAATATCCATAGCTTTCATCTACAACAGGACAGCTTTTGGAGGAAACATAGGCAACATGGCCAGCTGAAATATCACTTTCTGTATCCCAAAAATTAAGCATAAAAATAACATTTAAACAATATTCAGAATATTTATAAACATTTTCAACATACCTAGCAATCCACAGATTTCACTGTGCTGGATCCAGTTAAATATTCCCTAAATCAGGACCCTATTTGTCAGAATAAAGCTTTTCATTCTTTTCCTAAAAGTCCCCTAAATTACCCCAACATCTGAGCTAGAGAGATGAACAACTTTCCAGAACAGTGAGAGAAGGCACAAGTGATAAAAATTAAAAAATATATACCTTAGTATCTCAATGTACTTTATATAATATTAAACAATTATTCAACTGACGTGATGCTAAAAATTACAGAATGTTCTAAGGAAATATATATTCATTGAAACAGAATGTTGGAATGTTGAGTACTATTTCATTTTTCCAGTAGAATAATTTTAAAAAGCTTTAGTTAAATTAAATACTTCAAATATTTTTAGTCTGAGGGGTTTACTTTAATAATTAAATAAAGAAATATTACTCTAATGTATTTTAGTTGCTGGAAACATGCTGGCCAATCATGCTGAGCATTGCAGTAAAATACAGGTCTTATTCAGGAGTAGGGTTCCAAATGAAAACAGTTTACTTGGCTAAGAAGTAAAGGCAGTCAGCAATTATTCAATCAGTTCCCTAAAATCTGATTGTAAAAGCTACTAGATGTTAGCTTCAAGCATGCAGCCTTCAAACCAGTGTATGTTTATTTCAAATATATTCATTTTATCCTACCAGGCACAGCATCCTTGTGGAAGAATGCCACAGACATACCAATGGTGGTTCCTGTCCCAGAATCACTGTCTGTTTGCTGAAATCCAGGAATTGGTCTTGTTGTAAGATACCATACGGCATGAAGAACATCTGTTGCATGTATTCGATTGTGATCTAAAATAATAATGTTTTTATTAAATGTAAACATTACCATTATATATGAAGAGTCAATCACCCAAGGAAACAAAAGATAGAGGCAAAGGCAGAATTCTAATTCAAGAAAAAGGGCCTCACAGATGATAGCTTCCCCCCCTCCTTGCATTAAACAATTTGCACATCTGTTCTTCATCAGTTAACAGACCACCAGAATTTCAACTGTATAGCTTAGTCATACTGGGACTCAATAAGATTTTTCACTAAGACTCAGTGAGAATTTCATTCGTATCTCTCATTATTTTTTTAATTTAGCAAAGCCTTACACACATTTTGTTTTATTTATTTTTCTTATTATTACTTTTTAGAAATCTATTCTTATCCCATAATTTGTAAGATTAAAAAATAAATAAAAGAAACAGAAATAAAATACTACTAAATTACAGTAATAGTTCCTTACAAATATAATATAATAAAACACAATGGATGGCTCAGATGAATAAATTAGCCTAATTTTGTAAACTATTACTTACAGGGAATGTCTCGATAACCATTTTCTAGTGCTTGAAAGTAGTTCATGAATTGCTGAATTGGAATTTTGAAAATTTCAAATAAACCAGTGTCCTGAAACAATGTAAATGCAACCTAAAAACACAATAGACACATATTAAAACACCATGATAAACGTTTCAGTTTTTTTTCAGATTCTTTGAGAATGAATGTCTGTTTTTTCCCCCCTCTCCTCTTTCTAGCAGCCCTCTGCCCTGCCAAGGGTTGCTCCTGAGGATCAAGAGCACCTCAGCCTGAACAAGTGGTGCTAACAGGCAGGTAAGGAAGGGAATCACCTTATACAATTTATATTGAATTGAATATAAACAATTGAAACTATTAATGTTTTTGGTCAAAATCCAACTAATATTTAAAGCTAATATAACCTACATTTGCTAAATCCAGCTTCAGCCAATCTTTGAGATTTTCTTCCTATCTGATAAATCTGTGCAAGTGTCACAGCTATATATGTATATGTATATATACATACAAAAAGGGCAAATCCGAGATATATCTCAAATGAAATATTAATTAAGGATTAATTAATTTACAAAATTAATTGATCCATAAGTACATATATTAACCATACTTTCTCTATTATAGAAACATACAAAGACACATACAACATATACATTCCCCTCCCTTTCAGTAAAAACAGTAGAAAGATTTGTAAGAGCAGCTGTGTGTGCAGTCATTTCCACCCTATGTTAACAATAGTTTTCAACAGCTTCTTTTATTCTTATCTACCTCCTCCAATTACCCATTCACATGGGTACCAATTACCCATTCACATGGAACTATCTGAGGAAAGAAACTGTTCATTTTGAAAAATAGATATATGCAGACATATATCTATATGTATTTATATGGAGATAATAGCTTTCAAAATGTTCATATATGCACAATTAAAACTATCAAGATACAATATACAGAATATCTACAGCAGCAACAAACCTGACTGAGGATTCTTCTAGATTTATCTCCCATTTTTTGAACGAGATCAAATATTTGAAAATTCCAGCTGTTCATTTCCTCTATTAATGAACTGTGGTTTTCTGTTAACATCAGCTCTAATGAAGGATCCTCCTCAATCTGTGAGAGAAAAAATAATAATAAATAAGAACAGTAAGATGAAAGTGACTATCACAGAATAAAGCACACTATTTTGTTAGTATAAAATCAATTCTTGATTAAAGCACTAGTCAGAACAGGGAGGAAAGTCTTCTGGATCACAATTGAACAGGGGAGGAGCTGAATGGAAGACTTTAATTCAGTACTGCAACACAGGCATTTTATGGCATGCACTGAATTAGGAGAAACTGAACAGGGATTATTTTCTACTATTTGAATACAGACTAGAATGTATTTGTTGGCAAAAATTAGAAATGGTATTTTGATTTCCAGACTAGATCTTGCCCTAGTAATCTAAGACCGTTTTTCATTTCTAAGATCTAATCATCATTCACTATAGATTTTTGTCACAGAATGGTTACCAAGGAAGAATCCTTTTAGTAGTGGCTGGGATATCTGTCACAAGGGGAAAAATTAGGCCTTTCAAATTAAATGTAAAACTGCAAATCAACAACACAGCAGGGGTCTATAACAAAATGTTTCCATGTGGAGTATTCTTCTTCACATCAATTAGACATATGTCCTCCTCTGGAATATTCCACTGCATATACTACCACCAAAATAACTCATTCACTATTCACATGTTCAGTCCTCACCACATTGTTTTTGCGGATTCTCAATTTGAAGTACTTTTTTCCAATTTTATTTATTTATTTATTTCCGTAAACCTCAATCAGGGCTTTGCTAAAGCAGCTGGTACAGTTATAAGTGGAGCTCTTTTGTTAATAGCACTTATGATTCAACAATTGAAATCAATAATGATCTACAAAGCACCAACACCACCATAAACCGTCCAAGTCAATTATTTCAGGACATTGTGCGTGTGTGTGTGTGTGAAAACAAAGATGTTCAGAGAGCCAGAATGTTATTCCAATTATAACTTGAGAGCAAATTGATTGAATTTGTTACCATCATATGAAGAAATATATGTACATTGTGTTTTTAATAATATGTTTGGTATGCATTTACTGCATCTTTTTCTGATTTTGACATTTTGAAAATTTCAAGATTTATTAAAGAAAAAAAACAAAATTCAGTTTAAATAATATAATAACAGTGTTGAAGTATAGAAGTAAGTAGTTTTTTACAATAAAAATCAAACCTCTTATTAAAAACACAGGTCAAACTACCATAGATATTCCTGAAATAATATACTTACATTAGACTGAAAATTCTTAGTTTGATCCATTTGACAACTGTGATTTTTTGCTTCTCCCATTTCACTGTGCAGTTTCTCTGCAAGATGGCTGGAGTCTTTTGAAACATTGCTATTTCCATCCTCACCTTAAAACAAGTGCAAATAATATTAACAATTTAATCAAAGCAAATTTGTCCAACTTCAAAAAATATGATTTCCTAATCTAAATTCCATTGTATGCCTTTATAAAACATTTGAAAATACTGGAATTACTGTAAACTGTTATGAGATTTTTAAAATATACAAATGTTTTAAATAAATACTAAAGTATCTTAATTTTGAAAAAATAGTACTTCAGAAGTTTATAATTTTGCCCCAAATATCCAATGTTGCAAATGTGGAAATGCACACATTCAGTTCATCCATCTCTTCTTTTCCTTGACCCTGATGTTTCTGGTAATTCATCAAAATTTGCCAGTATTCCAAAGCATACTTTGGGCTCGAGACTTCTAAGGGAAAGTAGAAACACTCCTCTCCACAAAAAACAACAACAGTAACAACCAAAACATTAATATGATATAGGCAACTTCTGAGTCCAGAGAGAGAGAGAGAGAGAGAGAGAGAGAGATGCTATGCCACATTGTATGAGGCTTTACATGACTTCCACCCCCCGCCCCACCCCCTATGGAGTTTGAACCTCATAGAATAAGATTTGGCTCATACAGCTGATGTTTCCCAAGAAAGATAAACCAAGTGCGTACTGACTCCTGGTGGTTAGTGCAACTGAAAATACTACACAGGATACACACTATGTAAAAATAAAGAATTTCCTCCCTCAAAGTTAGGGGGTAAAAGTCATATACAATCTTGTACCTGGGGGCATGACATAATGTAATATCTTTCTGGGAGAGTTCAAGGGAAGATGGTCTTTATATACCATTCTGATAGAAAACATCCCTGACCTCCTCAGACTGAACAGAGAAATCTGAAAAGAGATTCTGCTCATGTAATTTCTGTTACACATAATGTATGCAAACAATTGGAAGAATAATTCCCATTTCAGTCCTTGGTATTCAACCTGGAAAAGTAAGGAACAGAGAAAGCAGAGTTGGGGACATTCTCTCTTTCTCTCTGTCTCTCTCTCCCCCACCTTTCATCCAGGAGCAAAAGATAGCATATATAGCACTTCCTCTTCCTATTTTTACAATGCTAACCCTGTGAGGTAGGTTGGACTGAGAGAGTGATTATCCCTAAATGATCTGGTGAGCTTTTGTGGTTAATGGTGGCTGAGTCTCCCCACTTCTTGTCCAAAACCTTAACCACTATACCACACTGGTTTTTAATATTAGAGACACGGCTAATGAGTACAGCCTTCTGCATAATTATATATTTCAGGCATAATATCTCAAAGGGTAGGTGTGGTTAAATTTTACTTCCCTCTCTCCCCCTCTTTCTATAACTCATACCACCAAAGTATGGTGGTACTTGGGCCTATTTTGAGAAACAATAGAAAATGATTTTTTTCTTTCTTTCTAGGGCTTTTCCTGCATGTTCGGGGTCCACTTTTTGGATCACTGAATGTTGATCCATTGGTTGCGATAGGAACTGACCAATTGGCTTGTCGCCCAAGCCTGACATTGCGGGCTGAGAGACTGACTGGCCCAAAGTCACCCAGCCGGCTTTCATGCCTAAGGTGGGACTAGAACTCCCAGTCTCCTGCTTTCTAGCCTGGAGCCTTAAGTATTTATTAATTATAATACTCAAGACTGCAAGTACCATAGAAGCTCTTGTAATTTAATTGTCCTCCAGGTAAAAAACAACATATCACGTAGCAGCAAGAGATTTATACCAACCTGCCTGGACTATCTCACTCTCCCTCATCAACTCCTCTGAAACAGGCTCTCCAAAAGAGCAGATTATTCCTAGGATAATTATGCAAGCTCCACTGCATACTATCTCTAAAAAAGCTTTTTATAAGGATTGCCTGCACCATTAATAGGTGTGTTGGATTAAAAAAATAAGTTGTTTTTTGTATTCAGCTTAATATTATCATCAATTATATCTTTTCAGCAAGTATTCTACCACAAACATGCATATATTGAAAAAAAGAATTAAAACTTAGGGTTTTAATTAGGACATGCATTGTTCTTTTCTTAGGTTTCTTTTTTTCCTTAGGACATACAGTACATTGTTCTTTTCTTGATTCTTTTGTTCTTACAATGTTTAATGCTGTATGCCACTCAGAGTGTTTATGGAGTTGGGTGGCCTCCTAAATTTAATAAATAATAAATAAATAATTATTCACCTTCCAGCATCACCTCCCACTGTATTGGCAAGCCCAACCTTGCAATACTGAAGTTTTTTGGGAGGAGGGAGATGGGGAAATCAGTAAAATCCCCATTTTCTATACATGTGAACTCTGCTCATAGTTTTCCATGTCACACAATTCTGGATATGGAACACTGTAGCTGAGAATAAAATTAATAGATGTGGATCACCTGAAGTGTTTTCATGAATTCATATTCTTAAAGGAATAGTTATTACTGAAACAAGGATGTTAAATATTCACATGGTCCGTAAACTTACCTGATTTTTGGCTTTGACATTCTGCTACAGATTCAAATAATGAGTTTGCAACAGAGTTGAATACCTGTCGTCTGCAACTTACGGAAAATAAAACAAGATAGAACAGTCATTTTTAAATTCATATTTACATTTTTCTGAATATATTTTTCCTTAAGTATTGTATCAATAAAGAAGTATTATAGCACAGTAATAATTTCACTGCTGTAACTCCAATTTGAGTATCCACAAATGTCATTTTAGCTGCACCCAGGAAGAAAAGGGCTTCAAGAGAGCATAGAGGATTTTTAGAGAATAGGGTTTTTTTTTTCAGGTGCTAACGTCTCACACATTTTTAGACAGTGTATAGGAGAAGAGAGAAGTCTATAAAAAAGTAAAGGCTGATGCCAACACAGAGAATCATCAATAGAGAAAGGTAACTTAAATTCAAGGAAAAGCAGCCAACTGTATACAAACCAGTAATTTTTAAAAAAATTATTGTAACAAGTTATTCAAGCAATTTGATTAAAACAAGTAGTTTGGGGAGGGAACTCACAGGATGACTCCTTCTATCAAATAAAGGTATTATACATGCTAAATAACTGATTAATTAAAAAGAGTTCATTACCTATTACAGGTATAACATGAAGATGTTCTAAATTGTTGCTGAAAATCTGAAGAATTAAATGTGCTTCCCAGAGATTTATGTACATTAATACTAGGTTTAGTAAGGAAATCAGTAGTATCAGGAAATTCTACAGGTGATCGGTGGTACCCACTGGAGAGAAATCCATTACTGGGTCCAACGCCAGGACTTAGATTCTGAGAAATTCCTAAAGTGGAGATGGCAGAGAAACCAAAGAAATAAAAAATGTGTTAGAAGAATAACACATGAAAAACCACTAGCTCAACAAATGTTCTTCACGTTTGTGGAGGGAAGGAACTCCTCAAAATAATTTATACATTCACTGTACATATGTCCATGATTATAAATGACTTGTAAACATATAAAACTGGCAATTTAAATTCCATTCATTTGGCCAAAATACACACATCCCTTTTACAAGTAGCCAAGACTTTTCTGTACCCTTCTATTCTATACTGTTCCCTTTTAGGATTGCCAAAATCTGTAATACCTAAAATAGGCATTATACAAATGGAACCTGTAATATAATGTTGACGGACTTTATTGAATATTCCAGCAAATTAGCAATGACTTCTCTAGAATAATCTGATTTTCCTTTCTTCCCCATACCTAAAATTTGATGGCCAGTGAGTGCTCATAATGAATTTGCAAGGCTTTTTTTTCACCTTAAAGTTTATTCTATAGATTTTTTGATATTTCTGCAAAACTTGGATTTTCCTGCCCATTGTCTCTTTTAGAGAGCCAATTTAGCGTAGCGGTGAAGGCACCAGGCTAGAAACCGGGAAATGGTGAGTTCTAGTCCCACTTTAGGCATGAAGCCAATTGAGTGACCTTGGGTCAGTTCCACCCTCTCAGCCCTAAGAAGGAGGCAATGGCAAACCAATTCTGAAATTTTGCCAAGAAAACTGCAGGGACTAGTATAGGCAGTCACCAGAAGTCAGAGGCACCGAAACAAAAACAAAAACTTAAAGGCACCAAAACAAAAACAAAAAAACTGCTTTCCTTTTATGTATCAGTGACACTTTTTTTAGCTACATAAGCAATAAGCAACTCACATCCTTAACTTCAGTAGCAAACAGAATGATGAAGACATTATCTTTCACTATTTTGCAAAAGATGCAATACATTACTTGAACAAGCAACAAAATAATATGTTTTAGTTAAAATGCACTTAAAATAATCTTTGTTGTTGTTGTTGTTTAGTCGTTAAGTCGTGTCCGACTCTTCGTGACCCCATGAACCATATTGCGCCAGGCCTTCCGGTCCTTCACTGCCCCCCTGAGTTTGCTCA